TAGGTAGTCGATCATATTCGGTCAGATCTGCTGGTAATGGACAAACATTTACAGTTGACCAAGGTTATCTAGTAACGTCGAGTCCACTCTATCCAGGATCAGCGACAGTTCTTGTTGATGTCACCAAATCAAATGTGCCATCATCAGCTGTTGGTACAATGGAAGTTGGAGTCCAAAGTGTCGATCCGGAATGGGTTCGACAAGCAGCTACGATTCGCATTCAAGGTGAATATCCTGAAACATTAATCGATCCAACACTCGGCAATCGTCTCAACGTTCTTCGCAATGCTTTGGCATCCATCTTATTTGTTACTGCTGATTCTATCACAATTCTTGCTATTCGGCCTGTGTTTCAATATCGTAGTCCATACTATCCACCTTTACCATTCGATCAAGCCAAACAACAAGCGTTAACCGATGTTGTTTTCTACATACCATCGTTAGCCAAGAGCGATATTGAAAACTCAGTCAATACCAACATTGCTCGATTTGCCTCACTCTATGGCATCATAGTGAGTGCTAGTGGACCAAATCCATGTTCGAATTATGTTTGTTCATCTGGTACAATCTGTCGTCCAACACGAACCATTCAACCATTACCTTACGTTATTGATTCAAATCAAACATCTTTCGTTGGCATTAATGTTGTAGATTCAGCTGATTGTGTCAATAGTACTTATTCACCAAATTTTACCAATACTCAATCTGGCTGTACGACATATTCATTCAATAATTTCGCTTATTGCCCTTGCACGTCGTTACAAGCTTACGCTCCACTTGGTCCTTATTGTCAAGTGCTAGGAAGAACATTCCGTGAAAACGGTGGTGGATACGCTGTTTTCGATGGAATGTATTTCTCAAATCAAGCTCCAACACGTTTTTCATTTGATTTTGCTTTGCGATCACCTGTGGTCGACGGATTGATTTTGTTATATGGAAAGAACACAACAGATGTCAACGGCTTTTTCTGGACTTCGGCTGAAATCTTTAATTCAAAATTGAGACTTCGTTTCCGAGATCAAATACTCGATGCAACAAATACAGTCATCAACGCATCAACATGGTACCATGTAGAATTTCAAGTATGTTCTTCTTTCATTTTCGTCGAGATTGCTTCGAACTTTTCACTCTCTCTCTCTTTTTCAGTACGTTGATTCATTGATTCTCGTCACAGTTAACGATTGTCAATATGTATCATCGGGTTTTAACAAGACATTGAATAGCTACGATCTGTCGAATGTTCAACTATTTCTTGGTGGCCTACCAGTTACAGGCTCGTTAGTATCTGGCCTCTATCCAAGTCTCACACAAGTCAGTACATTCACTGGATGTATACGAAATGTCATGTCTAATGGTTATTATTTGGACATGAATGCTGCAGTGGCATCCGCTCATTCTGAGACAGGTCAATGCTCACCGACGTTGACAACAATTTCCACAACAACAACTAGAACAACAGTAGCAGGAGGACATGCCACGAACATAATCGTATCAAGATTCACATGGTTTTTATTAGTGGCATCTGTTCTCTGCAAAGCATATGCAGTATAGAATTGCATTCATATCTGTAAAATATAGTTGACAACGACGTGTTATATATTTAATCTCAGAAAATAAACTTACAAATGTTAAACGCGAAAATAAATGTATAAAATACAAACTAACTTGCTGACTAATCCTGTTTCTTATTGTCATCTTTTCTCGATTTCTTTCTCTCACCGGGTTTCTCTCTATACATTTGTTTAATGTCATCTTTATATTTTTCTCCAATCGCTTTTCGTTTCAACTTCAGCGCATCGTTTACCAAACCGCTTTCCGGTGACCAATTTTCTTGGACAACTTTGATACGTTTCGGTATCTCAAAACTTTGACATCCATCTTTTCGACATATATCTTGTACTTTTCGCAGAATTTCGTCGTTGAAATCCTCATCATCGGCGATCTTCTTCCAATCTTTTTCATTGAAATGCTTTTCGGCATAAATCTACAATAAAGAGTCGAACATCGAGTATTTTCGAGAAATGTCGACTGAACGTACCGCGATTTCTTTTGGATTTGGACAAACTAGAGCAATCGTATACTCAGCGGACGATGATGCACATGCACAACAATTATCAACAAGTAATAATTTCTTGATCGCCATTTCAATCTTCGCTAACGAAACAAATTCTCCGTTTTGTAATTTCACCACATCTTTCTTTCGATCTAAATCAAAGATATTTCCAAATAAACAACGTCTTCGAATAGTCAAATCAACTTACCAATGATTTTCAATGTTCCATCAGGAAAAACTTCTCCGATATCACCGGTAAAGAAATACTTCGTTCCATCGATTTCCTTGAAACTGTCGTTTTCCTTGGCTGCATCACCAAAATACGAATCGACAACGACTTTTCCACCAATAAGCACTTCTCCTCGTGGATTGGGCTTATCGCTCGTTCTATACTTTCCTTCTTCCCAATCAATTAACCGGAATTCACTGGAGACAATGGGATATCCCGTACGACCAACACTAACATCATATTCTGAAAGCAGCCAATTTTAACCAATTACCCATCAACAGTCAAAAGACGCTTACCGTCAGCGATACATCCACCCGCACATGTCTCTGTTAGACCGTAACCTTGAAAAACACGAACGCATAGAACACACTCAACAAAACGTTGGGTTTCGTCAGATAGAATAGCACCACCGGATAGCGCTGCTTTTGTACGTCCGCCAAGTACCATTTTATTGAAACGTGAGAAGATCAAACTAAAGAGACTCAAGTTCTTTTTACAAGACAGCAGATAGATAATTTACTAGTCAAGAATTGGAGTTTGTAGACCTGCTTCTAAGCGTTTTACTTTGATTGTATATGCAAGATTAAAGAATTGTCGTAGGAAAAAATTTGATTGTTTGATTTTACTATAGACTGTTTGCTGAATACGTTCGAGAATTGTCTGATCAAAAGAAATTGACGAATCTTCATTGTTTAATTCAAATGGACTTACAGGAACACAGTTTATTATATACGGTCGAAGAGCTTGTAGATCACCTTTTTGACCTTTTTGCACCATGGTCGATTGATCGGTTAGAGTTTGAGGAGATCCATAACCGGACTTGACACCAGCATAGAAAACCAAGATCTCTACACGAATATAAAGGTATTCGTTTGACTTAGTTCATTTCAATAAAAGGAACAAACCACAACAAAGTTCAAATATGTGACCCAATGGTAGATAAGCCAAAAAAATGTCCTCGTCAATGTTTACTATGGGAAAAACACGTTCCTTCTGACCAGTTATGGCAGCAATGACATTTTCATGACGAATGGATGCCCCTTGAAAAGGAAAAGAATCAATCTTCAATGGAAGTTTCATTAATTGTTTAAATTACCTTTGGGTGGTCCAGTGCTGCCACTGGTATACATGATAACAGCAATATCTTCTCTCTTCGGTCGTTTTTTCAAAATTTGTTCATCTAGATCGAACAATAAAGTGCAAAAGAACAGTTCCAACATGATGAAATCCTACCGATAGTTGCGTTTTTTCCTTGTTCTTCGAGTTTTTCGATGGAAGTAAACTCGATGTTCTTCACCTCCTTTGGTGCTTTGGAACGTTCACTGGTAGTGCGTGCAGGAAAATAAATGACATGACGAACTTTTTCTGTGTCGTTCAGTATTTTCTAAAACAAGGACATCTTATTCTTTCTTTCGAGAAAATCTTTTTTTCGTACGTGAAGTTTGGATAGAAGATCCTGCGATGTTATAATCGTGAATATTCCCGATTCGTTGATACCGTGTTTAACACCTTCATCATCCAATGTTGGTAAGAGTGTAACTACAGTTAGACTATGTCGAAAAGCAGCAAATGCAGTCAGCAGCCACTCCGGACGTGTTTCGGAAAAGATCAAGATTTTATCACCGGGTTTAATGTTTAATGCAAGTAGACCACGACCGATGGCATCGATACGAGCACATGCTTGTCGATAAGTTGTAAATCGATATTCACCGAATGCAAACTAAAGATTTGATTCGTATTGAATTTCGTATTTACAAAACAACAAACTTTTTTGAATATTTTTCCATTTGGCTGTTTTTCTTCTTCGACATTTGTGACATCACGAACACCCATCGTTTCTTTGTCTCCGTAACGTTCAAGACAGACGTAGGGAATGTCAGCTAATGTTTCAATTCCTTGCTCCGGCTGTTCATGAAGTTTTTCGAGCGATTCGATAGCACGATAAGGTGATGACGGGTCTGATTCATCGACTTGTTTTGCTCGAAGTCGTTTTTGCTTCTGATATGTTTCATTTGGTTTTCCTAATGTTAAAGCATAGTAGACCAACGATGGAATATATACAAATAACAAAGATATGTAAAGTCCGAATAATCTTTTGATCAATCTTCCGAGATATCGTCGAAATATACGATCGCGTATCTCTCTCCAAGTGCGTTCAAATAATGTTAAAGACATCTAAAAATAGAGAATGAACGATGATGAGAAAAGGTAGCAAAGCATATGATCAAAGATCAACTGTTGATGATTCAAATCTACGTCAAATCAAAACTAGCCAGTTAATATTACGAGTGCGTACATATATGTTTCGACGAGTATGTCAACGAGTACAGTATTATTACATTGGAGGTGGTATGTGAACCAATGAGAACCCGAACAAACGCTATCTGCTTCGAGCGATGAATAATTCGAAAGTGAAAGAAATGAATGAAGAAGATATGTACTTATAGTAGAACACATTGAGTGAATCGAAAAGAAATCAAGATAAGAGTAAAAGAATACTCTTTTCGGCTGCGTCACTGAGTTCATGGTCTTGTTAACGTTGTGTCGTCATATGTATACACGTGCAATGTATTTTTACTTTTCTTCGTTCTGTACTATATGTTTTTTGTATTTTTACATTTCTATATTATTTGGAGTCAAATCGAGGGTGACAAGTCATGAGAAACTGAAAAACGAAGCGAAAAACAAAATACATGAAAATCACGGTTTATACTGCAATTAGTCCCAGCGTACTTTCCACTGATAAGAACCACTTTGTACACGTGCAAGCATTGCACCTTTGATCTTTGTATCACGACGTATCCATACAATACCATTGACTTTCGTGTCTAGTAACGAGGTAGATCGTTGCCAAGTCAGTATCCCATTTTCTTCAATCGAAACACATCGAGTGCTCGATTCAATAGGTTCAAATGTCAACATAGCATGACATGAGTGTGGTATTGTGATATTATAGCTGACTATCTTGTTATTGATGTCTCGTTCCCATGAGACAAGAATAGGTCCCTTTACTGTATGAACTTCAGCTTCGACAGTGACGAGAACATTGGTGAGACGGGGATGAATAATGAGATCGTTGCTGAACCCATCCAATTGTATACCAGCCAGATATCGATAAAACCAAGCACCGATACTGTTAAACATATGATGATTGAGACTGTCTGTACCACCTTGGCCTTCAATCAAAGCATGGTACGTTTCCCAGTTTGTTGTCGCATTTTGTACATTGTTATTGAACATATATCCAAAAGATGGATACGTCGTTTGAGTAGCTATCGCAACAGCTAAATCGTGATAACCGGCATCCGTTAAAACTGGATAAAGAGCAGCTGTACCAACAATACCCGTAGTGGAATGATTACCATTTTGAACGATATTATCCACTAGGGCTTTGGTAACTGACGCACGAAGATTAGTAGGGACAACATTAGGTAATCGTAATGCTAAAACATTGGCTGTTTGATGTCCTTCAGCATAGCCATTGACTTGAGGATTGTAGAAGGCAGAATGAAAGTCCAGTGCTAGTTGATCATATAGTTTACTGTACTTGTCGATATTAGTTTGATTATTGAGAATTTTGGACAGCGCAATCATTGTTTGTACATCACTTAGATAGGAAAATGCTGACACCAAAGAACTATTTGTCACTGGATAATGAACCGGCGTTTCCCAATCTCCGTATGCAAAGTACATATTGCCTAGGCCACTTTTTTGTGCTCGATTCGTTAAATAATCTATCCATCTTTGAATTCCAAGGTAATGTTTTTTAACAACAACAGTATCATTGTAATGTTGATACAGACGCCAAGCAATTTCTGGATAAGCATGCGCCCATGATGGATCTGCCACGTATCCGCCAACGGAGTATGGTGCAGTATCTGGAATAGATCCGTCATCGTGTTGGACATCAGCGATATTCTGCAAAGTATTTACGTACAATCCATATAAATCAAAGTTAAATAGTGCAACGTCGACTGATAATGCTGCATCGCCTAACCATCCTCGTCGTTCTTGTCTTTGACTACAGTCGGTAACGATCGACATAATGTTACTCATTTGTGACCAGAGTATATTATGTTGAATCTGATTGAGTGTCAGTGATGATGAAGTAAAGTTACCGATCAGTTTCGTTTCACTATGAATTGCTGCGCATACGACTGATTCGATAGTGATATAATTAGCAAATATCGAGATGTAACGAAAACCGTGGTACGTAAAAAGCGGTGTTAACACTTCGTGTGGTGTGCCCTGGATAATAAAATCATCCGAAGCAGTAATGATTTGATAGTTAGCTTGATTGAGTCCTTGATATTGAATACCATTTGTGCCAGGCGCATTCAATAGTTCGGCATGTCGTGTAGATACAGACATTCCGTTTCTTCCACTAATAGTTAGCGTACAGTAGCCGGCAATATTCTGTGAAACATCATACGTTGGTACTTGTTGATTTGGAATTGCTGTTGCATTGAAGACACCACCATCTACGATATTGCCTCCAATGACACCTGGTGGCATTGATTTGTAACTTGTTCGAGCCGCGGATGTAGCAATGTGTAGTGCATATGGGCTAATTCGTATCGGATCCATCGATTGATATGTCAACTGTCCGGATGCTGATGATAATGGTGATTCGATGAGAGAGGCATTCAACCATAAACTATAGGGATCAACAAAACCAGGTGTAGACCAATTATAACGTTCAGCACGGCTATCATAGAATGTTCCCATGTAGATGCTATCTTTACGGTGTGCACCTTCTCGGCCAAGCCATGTTGTATCACTACTGATATTCATTGTCGAATGATCAGTGAACATCAGATTCAATTGTATAAGTAATCGTGCCGGTGGACCAAATACTTCCGGTGCCGGGGCAGGTACTCCACCACCCCATTGTTCGTGGGTGTAGAACCCAAGCCCTAATTGTACACCAACGCAATTGAGGGCTCGACTTTGAAGAAATTTAGTTATGTCATAAGAAACATAAAGGACGCGCTGTGTATATGTCGTCCAACCAGGATCAAATCGACGTGACGGATCTACGTTGATACCATTAACGTGCAAAACGCCGTAACCCATACCACTCATAAATACAGTGGCCGAAAGTATATCTTGTGAAATGTAAAACTCCCGTCGCAATTCATTCATATTAATTTGACGCGAACCAATCCAGTTGGCCGTGAATTCATATTTCGGATTGAACAATGGCGTTCGAAATTGTCCAGTTATAAGTTGACTAACTGAACCCGTCGACGACCAGTACTGAATAGAGTATCTATAGCGGGTGTCTGATGTTAAAGGTAGATTAGTGCAAAGAATGTTAATGGTTACGTTCGAACTGACACGATCTGAATCATAGACTAGTTGAGAGCCTTCTTCGGGTAAATAGAAACTATTTAATTGAGTTATAGTAATCTGATATGCAGTTTGATAAATCCCACGTATCAATGTACCATTGCAAAGATGTTCTTCATCATCGATAGTCCATGAAAAGATGGGTGTTTCAACAATAAGATCAGGATGTGTGTCAACATCGTGGTGATCAATGCGAATATGCTGCGGTCGCGGTGAAGCGCATACCGACAATCCTTGAAGGTTCTTTGCTAATAGTACGATGTGAAATATTAATAGACACAGAGGAAGGCTGGTCATTGTAAAACCTTAAATTATGATATGACAGCTAGAGAATATAGATAAAAACTTTATCACTAGTGTTCGCAAGCAAACAAAACAAGATAGTATACACCTTATAGCTTCAGCATGCATGTTAATTTATTTTCTTCAATAAAAAAGATTCCGAGTAACGCTTAAGCACAAAGTTTCGAAAACTTCCACGATTCATATGCAAATTTTCAATCAGCTCATTAGCGCTCGATTGATCATCCACGAATACTTTAATCGTCTCTAGATGTTGAAAAGTTTGCACTATCTTAGTAAGGATATCGGCATACCACTCTAGCGATGCGCCGTGTCTATCCACAGAAAAGTCCACATGAGAAAAAGATGACAAATGAAACCGATTGATTTTGCTTAACCTCACAAGTCCATTATGTGTGACACAACTGCACTGTGTCATTGCTTTCTTAATAGCAAGAGTCACCTCTTCATTTTGTAGATACAAGTGTAAAGGAGTATTTAATCTGAACGCATACCAATCTTTCTTTGAGTCACTCGAAAAATCTTGGCGATTAGAATGAAATATTCGAATATAATTGGCCATGATATTTCTTATCTCTTCATATGTTCGATTTGATTGGGACTCCTTTCTCCACAGAATGACCATTAATTTCGGCATTTTAGACTTTAAGACGCTTATAATATGCTCATCATAGTGCAATGTGAAATTTAAATGAACGTATCGTACATTGTGCCATGATTCACCAGGATCTTTCAGATTTTCATGAATATTCGAATCAATCTCATGAAGATAATCAAAATAGAATGGTAATGTATAGAAATAATTATTGTATACTCCAAAGAATACATTTCGGTCCGACAACAGTTGTTGTTTTTTCAAATCGAGAAGGATTCGTTGATTTTGTTTGGTTTGGTTAGGTTGTAACTTAGCATACAGATGGAATTCGCTCAATTTATTCATTGTTTCCATATATTGCTTTAATTTCAGATGATCAAATGGTACGGAGTCAGTTCCACTGTCAAGAAATGATTCACTTAAATTTAATGATAAGCAAACTAATGTCGAAGATATTTGGTTTATCACATCGAGTAGACGATCGAAACAAATTACTCGACCTGGTTCATTGTAGAATTTTAGATGAAATTCTTTCAATTTCAGTTTTAATCCTCCTGCATTCGTATTAAATTGGATCGGTGGATATGTTTGAAGGTTTAAGCAGGTTAAATTCGGTGTAAATGGTAATAATGTGAATATATCAGCGAAATTGTTTAGTACTATTCTTAAGGAATGTAAACTTTCATTCGTTCGAAATTGATATCTAATCAATAACGGAAACTGAAGAATAACTGGTGAATAGTCAATAACCTCCAACGAGTTTTCACCATTCCACAGTTGTGAAAGCACGTAGTCATGATTTATTTCCATATCTCGTTCATTATCGTAGTCAATGAATCGTGGTTTGATTAGTTTGAATGATTTAAGCTGTTTGAACTGTTGATTATCAATAATTAACTTCCATTGATCATTCGATAATGTGCAGGATATGGATAGACGCTTCAAATGGGAAAAGTATGATAGCGGAAAGGGAATCTCAGATGTATCGATTGTTAGTGAGTCGACATATGAACCGATATCTGAGCAAATCGCAGCTCATTCTTGAAAATTGTGTTTCGGTAAGCAGATTTTGAGATAATCCTGCGAATTTGAGATCAGGAGACGATGGAACCGTTCATTGACATGAGTGAATGTATAAACAATATCATTCGTTGACAAATAACGAAATATTTGGAAAATAATTTCTGCTGGTAAACGATCAAACCACGTTGTCGACATTTCAAAGTTGTGTAATGTGAAATGACACGTATGAAAACAGACATGAGTCATCGAAGGACAGGTATTTGCCGATGAGGAGAACGTGTCACATGTAAATCAACAAATTTAGATACTGTCGCCAATTGTTTTAGTTTCATGTCCGGAGATATAAATGAAAAATCCAGCCTATCACTGAATGACGCAATCGCGTTTTTTATTAGGAAAGATGATTACATCATTGAAATCATACGCATATATAGCGGAATATTCACGACCAATCAGCATAAACATGACGAAAATGTACACGTGCATTGAAATATTTCCCGTGGAATTATGGCTTGAAATCTTCCGATATCTCACATGTAAACATATAGCTTTGGCATTTGGTAGACTGAATTCGTTCTTCGATTCTATTCTGAGTTCTCCTCAACTTCCAACGATCATTCGAGTACGAATAGGCTTTGCTCCTGCATGTCCTTCCGCCCAGAATTTTGAAAAGTCCAGTGCGCTGAAGATAGAATGGATTCAAGCATTGGACACGTATGAAACTAAGAGAAGTGGTTGCATCATACCATTTCTTCAAAATTACGCATCGCGTCTGATCAATATGCGTGTCTTGAATGTTTATATTCGTGCAAAGCATGCAGAGTCGAAGCTTTTTCGCCTTTGCAAAGCATTACCTCAATTACATAGATTGGAAGTTCTCAATCTGAATTGTAAAAGAAATTTTATAGACAAATCACTTAGTAACTCTATCGGTGAGTTATTCACAACTATTCTGCAACATCGAAACTTACGCAATTGCTCACTGAGTCTTTGGAATTTACAGGAAACCACTTTCGACCGACAATATGTTCTTGATTTACCATTAAATCACTCGATACGAAATCTCCGAATCGATAATATTGAGCGGAGGATTCTCTTTGATATTATTCCATATTTTCGTGGATTACAATCTCTCGGCGTCCAATATCAAACACAAGGATATATTTTTGATCAAACAGATATGTCTTATCCAATTCAATCTTTGTCTCTTCCTGCATTGTCGCGATTGAAACTATCTATTTGTAATTTGACATTTCAACGACTGGAGCTGATTTGTAATGCTACGGATGGCTGTCTTTGTCATTTAGATGTGGATTATTCTGTTTATGTTTTCACAAATCATTATGAAGATTATCTGGATTATTTCGATCGAGCACGTTGGGCGAAACTATTAGAATCTGTCGCAGTTGCTCATGTTGATGTAAGGATTCATGCGTTGGATGCTGTTTCCAAAGATATCATTAGTAACATAGCAAAAAATGATCCATCGATCAAATGGAATGAAAATCGCACTGTATCTTCCTATGCCAGTTTGACTATTAAAAAGTCTAACTAGGATTCTACTCTTTCAATCTATTTTCTATGTCCTATTTCAAACTTGATCTGTGTCGAGCAAGAGATCAATTCCATTGTGAATGAAATACACAGTTCTCAAAACATGACAGGCTAAAACGTTGTTTTTCAGTTTTCAATTATAATTACGCATATATTTTCCATGATAATCTTCTTCTTTTGATATCAGATTACACGTTTCAAATGTTCACAGATTTAATCTGAACATGCTTCATGAGAACAACGGCTAATGATTTGTTAAACATTTATTAAAATATGAACTAATAGATAGGTTTCACTCGAGTTCCATGCTCGAATTACTCGATGGTGCATTATTCGGAACAACTTGATTTCGATTGCTCGAACACAAATGTTTTACTCGTCGCCAGTATTTTTTCACTAGAAGATGCTTGACTTGACTGCGATATCGTGCGGAAGTGACGAAAAAGATATAGAAACTGATCTAAAGTAGGCAAATGAAGTTTAGCATTGAATATGAAACTGTACCGTAAAATTGAGACCCGTCCAACAGGTAAATATGGCAAAAAGTAATTGTCGAGTTGCGTACTGTAAGACATCTGTTTGTGGATTAGCCTTATTGATAATAATCATACGGTAGATCGAATAAGGTAAGGAGCATATAATGTAAAATAAAGCTCGTACTAAAATCATCGCTGTCATTTGTTGATCAAGTCGTCGACGAATGATTGGCACTTGTTGACGAACAATTCGACGAACATTTTGAAAAGCTGATAAACTTGATAATGCCGCAATGGCAATTTGTAGAGGACCATACAAAACTGGATAAAAGAACCATGTTGAATAATGTAGAAATACTGGATTTGTTATAACACATCCGAGCGATGAATTTATATTAAAAAAAAGGCCGAACATAATACTATGTAAAAGCCATATACAAGAGCTAATTAAAAGCACATATCGAGCAAGTTTAAATGTAAACATTCGTCGTAAATTCAGTCGGTAACTTGTTGAGAAAAACTGATCGCATGCAGCATAACATACCGTAAATGAGGATACAAGTGTACACGTTTGAAATAAAATCAGTCGTGATCGACACCAGACAAGAACAGTACTTTGAGGATCGATTGCATAAATAATTTGTAATAAATTACTAGTAAACATGACTAAATTATAGAGAATATCGACAACCGATTCGATGATTAAATAAAAAGCCCATCGGTTATCACGAAATAGTTTCAATTGAGTGAGAACAAGAATATTGATAATATGACCAATGATTCCGAACACAATAGCGAAAAAATAAATGTAGAATATACATAGACGAATATTATTAAGAATAGCTACTGTAGTTAATAACGATGAGTCCATTGGTCTGATAGGATGTACGTGTTTTTGTTTGCAGTGAAAAATGTCAACGAGAGATTATTTGTCGCGAAGATGAGTTCTGTCATGTGAATTTTAATTAAGAAGAAAGAACTAATCTTGCAGTGAAAGCAGACTCATATTATGTTTATGATGAGAATGTACTATTAAAAATCGACGAACATCTTAGAAGTCTTTTTAATGAATGTAATCTTTTTGAATGTCGCAGTCATGTCTTCTTATCTACATCTGAAATCTGTCAATGGTATTTGAAAAACACCGAGATTGATTTTCTTCCAAAATGTACGGAGCATATACATTAAAGTTCGACACGACTAAAAATGGTTATTTGAACAACATTTTAACTTTCATGAATATTTTCGAGTGTATCGAGAGAGATCGTAATTGTATATGAATGTGTAATCCTTAGTTGGTATAGAGTCTTTTCGCAGGTGGACAACGCACAGAACCACTTCAGAATTCGCTTGCAATTCTTTCGTTCATTTGTTTGATGTTATGCGTATGTGTTTTTCTTCTGAAATAACTCGCACGGTTTGATTGAAAAGATTGCGACGTGATCACCCACGTTAAATTCCTTTCATGAAATTCATAGGTAAACGCATAAACAGAGAAGAAAAGCTCGACCGAAATGCATTTCTTTGATTCATTTGCTATGCGTAACGGCATAGTAACGCATTTTTAACTATCGGGTGAATGAAAGTACTCAGTTTTTTTCCAGACACAACGAGAAAATTGATGTGCTGAATTTGCATGAAATTTTGTACATACTTTCTGCACTTCGATTTGCATGTTAGACACGCTTTGTATGTGCCTAATCGGCAAACTGTATTTACCAGCACACATTTATTCGGCGACATTTTTTCAATTTTCTCTCTTTGCTCCGCTTGTTGTTCGAATATTTTTGACTGATCGGTAGTTAACACAAACGCAACCACGGCCTTTCTCTTTTTTCCGGTGATCGCCCTGTTATGACAACCGCTGTTACAGGATGGAGTAAAAATTAAGAGAAAAGTATTTTTGCATGTTTATCTTGTGTCATGATGACATATAAATGTTCGCTTCTTTTTAGGCGGCAATATTCAGTTCTGCTCAAGCTGGTAAATTAACCAACGAACGTCATAGAATTCAACACAAGATGAGTTCCCATTCTTCACAAAAACAGAACGACCATCATGTGATGACTTCTGCTCGAAATGGTCGTCCACTGATTCCTGTAACAGATCAATCGTCTACGAATGGTATCTGTTCTCAATGTCATCAAAGTTTGAAGACAAGTCGAAGTCGTACTGAAGATCGTTTCCAAACTACATTACAGAAATACTTTCCAAACGCTTATGGATTAGAAGAATTTGTCTTTGAAACGAAGCAAACTCTGGTACCCAAAGGTTTTTATCCTCATGTTAATACATTGGTTTGTATTGGATTATGTCGCGATGAAATTACTAGTCCATTCGAAGAAGAAGTTGAGTCAATGTGGGGACAAGGATTCATCTGCGGTTCGTTGGGTGGTATGTTGTTCTGTGGAAAAACGGGCTTTGCAGCTGCACATCATCATGCACCCGACGATGGTCGTTTTATTTACTATTGTTTTACACATATTGCTATCGATCACGAAGGAAATATTGGTGCGGTTTACAGAACACGTAGCGGTATGAATGAGAAGACCACAGCATGCGGTGCTCTTGCTGCGTTTGCGAGTGAAATTGCTTCAAATAAGTTGAATTTGCATTTCGATGAAGCTGATATCGAAATGAGCATGTTAAAAAAACATATTGCTAAGCAAACGGACCTGCTGGCTGATCCGAAGAAGGTGCCAGATTTGCTGGCAGTGACTATGGCTGCTTATCAAACCATTACTTGGGATTTAGAAAATCATGTTCGACACGACGCTACGCATTTTAAAGATCGTCAATACGCTTTATTTACGGGTGTTCAAATACATGGTCCAAATGGAACCGATTATTGTTGGTTAGGAAAAGCAAGTTTAGTGAAAAACGGCGTATTTGCACCACTCACTCTTACATCTAATGTAAAGCCTCAATCATCAGCTGCGTCGAGGACAAAGCAACACTAATCGACCATAATCTTCCCGCTGCCATTGACATTTGTTTGAGTCTGACATCGCTCGACTGTATAAGAAATTAGCTTTTCATCAGTATTTTGTTTTGAACTATCACAATATCATATAAAAAAAGAAATCGACTAATTTATCTTCGAGAAAATTTTGCAATTACACTGTCAGACATCATTTGGAAATCGTGTTGAATCGTTATTAAAGGCTTTTCTAAAATAACCGCCTTCGAATCAATCGCAAGTGAAAGATTACTTTTTTGATATTGCACATTCGTCATCATTTTATTTGCTTCTATTCAAGAAAAAAAACACGAAATCAATCAAGTGTTTTTGCACCGCGGTTCTTAGTTTGAATGCATATTTAAACTAGTTCGAATAGCTAATCTTGTCCTTTCGACTTCACTACTAAAATTTAAGCGTATCGTCAATACTATGATATTTTAGTTTTGATGCCACACGTGCAATGTCGTTGTTGATTGCCATTACGTATCGATGTAGAAGTGGTAACGAACTACGATAGATTTTGGCAGCTGTTTCATAGTTCGCCAATGCTTCTCGCCATTCACCCTTCTTCTTATGTATTACACCGATGCTGCTGTAGCTCTTGGCGATATCTAGATGTTCACGAGGTAGGGATTTCAGTCGAATCTCGAGTGCTCGAGTATAATGTTCCATCGCAAGGTCATATCGTTCGAGGGCATCATATATACATCCAATATTATAATTTGAAGTGCCTATTTTTGGATGATCAGCTGGTAGGGATTTCAGTCGAATCTCGAGTGCTAGAGTATGATGCTTCATCGCAAGGTCATATTGTCTGAGGCGATAATACATACGTCCAATATCATAATTTGAAGTGCCTATTTTTGGATGATCAGCTGGTAAGGATTTCAGTCGAATCTTGAGTGCTCGAGTATAATGTTCCATCGCAAGGTCATATCGTTCGAGTGCACCATATATACATCCCATATTATTATATGACATGGCTATGTCTGGATGATCAGCTGGTAGATGTTTCTTTCGGATATCCAATGACTTCTCATAGTAAGCAAGAGCTTCCGAATACTTCTTCTGATTCTCATAGATTAGACCAATGTTGTTGTAGATATGAGCCATATCTGGATGATCCTCAGCGTGTGCTTCCTCAAACAGTGCGATTGCTTTCTTGAAATATTCCAATGCTTTTTCATTATCATTCTTTCTCCTGTGACTCTCACCAATACAATTATACAAATTTCCTATGGTGACATAATCAGATGACTTAGTTTTCATATAGATCTCCAATGATTTCTCGAACCACTTCAGACTAGCATCATAATCACCCTTATCTCGAGTGACCATACCAAGTGACCAGTATACACGTCGAAGCAATGGATCATTCGGTGGAAGTTCATTCAGATGACGCTGCAGCATCTTCTCTGCTAACTCAAACTTTCCCATTCTACGCAGTATACGACCAAAAGTGCGAAAATCTGTTTCATCATCACCGTCTGCATGATCTTCCTTCATATGATCAAACAGCGTCTTCAAATCATGTTCATTGTCATCACATAGTTGCATTTCAATCACCCACATGTTTTTGTTGTCATCTGGCCAAATCTTATTGAGACGAAAGATGCATCCGGTCATGAACAATACTTCTTCTTCGTACCTAGAAATACTTAATTCTTTAATTTTAGCAAATGGTTTTGACACCAATACAGCTGGATCAGCATGAATATCAAACAGCACGCAATGTAAATCACCCGACACAGTTGACCTAGGTAGAAATGCCGATGCTTTCTCTCGCTTAAGACTAGTTGAGAAAAAGGAATTGATCGATATAAGTTCACCAATCGATCGTCGTAAGATTTCTAATTCATCACTTGACATCACCTGACCTCGATAAACACGAACAGGTGATGGTGATGCACATTGATGCTGCTTCAGTTGCCGATAAATGTCGTTGATCACAAAACGAAATAAAAACAGAATCTCAATGTTTTGTACTCGCAGTGCCTTGTTCAGCATTTTGTACACAAACGACGGACGACTATACCACCACACTGCCTTGTCACTTGAATATTCTCGCTTAAATTCATCTACAAAAGCGAGTTCACTGTGGTTGTCATGGAAGTGCTGTTTGCAAAGTGTGATGAACTGATCTTTATCTTTGTCATTCGGTTTCAATCGAAGAAGAACATCGATGAGAAGAAGTGAGTGAAGGAAATTACCATTGAGTTCAGTTGTGGACTGATCGGACGCACCATTCGAATTGAAGATGTTGATTGAGAGTGGTTCGTCTGCTTTTGTTTGGTTGTTCTGATTCGTTTTGATGTGATCAATTAAATCTTTGGCTTGTGTAGCCACTTTTTGCACCTAGAAAATGCCAGACAAAAATAGTTTTGGCAAGTAAACGAGATGTGTGTTGTACCTTGATAAAGCACTTTGTCCATTGCTCGTTTGCCTGTTCATCTTTGGAATAAACGTAAATTGCAGAGACTTGTCGAAGCGAATGAATTTGAGGAACTAGTTCTTGACCACACCGACCACTGACAATGAGAACAAGTCGATCTTGTGAAGAAAGTGAAGTGACATAGTCATGACATTGCTGTTTGTCATGAAACGTTTTGAGGTGATTGATGATTTGTCGAAGCTGTTGCTGAGTTTGTTTATTCTCTTCTGTTGAATCGACTTCTTCATCGAGCCAGGCGAGAGAAAATGTTTCCAAATTCTCATCAGTTGCCACAGAAACTACATTATTTATGTTCTCCATCGATATTTTAACGTTTTCCTCTATTGAGCACTATATGGATGAAACGGACGATTAGAAGAAATATACAATACTCGTATATTGTACGCTTATTTTTCTTAGCTAATACGTGCTTTTTTTTATGACGATTGGAAATTATAACCTGTCTCACCTATCCATGAAAATATTGCAGTGATTATGGATAGGAAATGCATGGTTGATCTTATGACGTATTTACCATATCGAGATTAAAATAAATACATTTGAATGAGAAATGCATGAATTGAAGATATACGACTCCTTCAGCTAATCTAAGTAAAAACAACGTTCTCGCAAATAGTCAATACTGTACAAAAACAGTTGAGAATTTCGTTCGCAGTTATATCCGAGTTCCCTCAGCTGTCAACTGAAGTGTGAAACACAATACAAAACGCGAATCAATTCCCTTGATAAAGATTTTGTTATTTTCAATGAGAGAGCCAAACTATGTGTTGGTCGTCATATTTGTTTGATTTATCTCATACGGAATACACTTTGGATATCCGCTATTGATCAACAAGGAAATTTAAAAAAACCAAGATACAGGTAGAAAAAAATATCTAACTATCATCAGAGTCAAATTTTCATCATGAAAAGAGGAAGAGAAGAATGAGTAGTTTTCTTTTTTGTTGGTTAGGCAATTTCGCACAGAGGAGACAAAAATGAGACGCATAATGTACCTTAATAGTAACTACTTTTTCGTTTCTGCATCTATTACTACCTATGACTCTATGCACCATTAATAGACTTTAATCAGGTATGAATGTATTCATTAATATATGAATTGAAAAAATAGAAGGGTATATACAACAAGCGAGCATCGATATAGTATTTTGAAATTCCTGTTAATGAGCATCGAACGTTCAATATTTAGCGTGTTGTGAGCCTGGTGATATGTGTGGATCCATATTGATTTTGTTATTTTTAGATTATTCATCAATTGAAGACGAATAAACATTTAAAACGTCAACGCGGATGTTTACAAGGTTCTGGATATACGTCTTCGTCGGGAGTTTCCATGCGGTGTACATCGCCGCCATTTGGCCTTCGATGAATTCTTCTAAAGTGCAAATACTTGGCACATTCTGTAGTAAGGTGGACACAACAGAACTAATCCTACGATCTCTTCAGTCTCGTGCCATGTTCATATCAGCAATCTTACTTTCTCATCAATATAACATAACGATCGGCGGACAATTCTTGGGCTGGCAAGTGATGGACAGCGAAGAGAATGTTGCAAATACTCTGAGCAAAACATGTTTACTAACATCTTCGTCGAATATTATCGGAATTGTCGGACCAACGTTTTCCCGCGAGTCACATTATATTGCTCCTTTCGCTGAAAAACTCGATATTCCCATGATATCTCATGCTGCTACTGATCCTGATCTGTCGGATCGACAGATATATCGAAGTTTCTATCGCACGGTTCCTTCGGATAATGCAGCTGCCTTAGCGATTACAAAATTGTTTCTCAAATACAATTGGACTTCATGCACAATTATCTATCAGAACGACGCATTCGGATCCGGTGGAGCGAAGTCGATAAGTGAAACATTTGACAAGCATGGTCTAAACGTCACTGGAATGATCATCTTTGATATTGTCACTCGAACGATCCGCGACGATTTGAAAACTCTTCTAAACAGCAGATCAGCGCGAATTGTCATCTTGTGGGTTGAGGAAAACTATGCAGCTTTGGTTTTACAACAAGCGCTTGATTGTGATGTTCTAGGTCCACGCTTTACATGGATTCTGGGCTCCAATATCCCATTGAATATTTTCAATTCATCAGTTTACGATCGATTAGCTGGAATGTTTACGATAGAACCGGTTGTAGGGAATGTTATCAATGCTCCATTTAATGCGACATTATTACGCGAAGCGTATGCCATTTGGCAGCAATACGAACCTGAAACGTTTCCCGGACCAGGTAATGTAAATTATTACGCACTGTTTTCATTCGACGCAACTTGGTCGCTGATTCTGTCGTTGAGAGAACTTTGTCTAAAAAATGCATCATGTACGTCATTCTTGGAAACTCCTTTATGCTTCCATCGACGTTTCCTCAGTGCAGATTTGTTGTTTGACATCATAGATAACACTACTTTTCTTGGAGTATCTGGCCCTGTAGGATTCAAGGCTAATCTAACCGATCGGGTCAATGGTAGCTACTACATTGCGAAAAATATTCAAAGTTTTTCGAACGGTTTGAACTATGTGCCGGTATTGGTTTGGTCGGAGACGAATAATTGGGTCTCGCATACAGAATTAAACACAATAATATGGCCAGGAAGGTCGCTGGTTGCTCCTATAGGTTATGCGCTTGCGACCAATGCAACTCTGCGAATTGCTGTCATTGAAATACCTCCTTTGACAATTATTGAAGAAACAAAAGATGAACACGGAGGAAAGAAGACTAAATTAAGTGGCTATGCACCCGATCTTATTGACCATTTGCAGAAACGAATGAAATTTAAATCGAATACTACTGTGCTATCGTCCAATCGAACTTACGATGAGCTGATAGAAGCGGTGGCGAATAATACGTATGATATGATCGTGGGTGATGTTACCATTCTCGCAACACGACAGAAGAGAATCGCGTTTTCGAGTTCAATATACGATGGCTCGTTACGTGTCATTATCAGAAACTCATCGAGTAGTTATTTACATTCTTCTTCAAATACGTCAGTACTCACGTGGGCACAAATAACATTATGCTACGTTGGACTATTGATATTGACTACTGTGCTATTGAACGTTTTTGAGGGAAAAGGCTGGATTTTCCTATACGTTGATTCTCCATTGAAAATCAATATCCGTTACGAACCTATTGCGAGATCTGTTGGTTGCTTACTCACTTGTTTCCTTCAAATGTTAAGTATTATTTCGTTTGCATGCTTCGCTGCCAGATTAATAGTTGAGTTGACCGCTCCAAAATCTGAAGTTCTGATTTCTGGCATAGATGACATCAAAAAGGGTAAAATTTCATCGAATCGCGTGGGTATTATTGCCAATTCATCGATCGAAGACTACTATTTACGAGAAATTTCCGGAGGAAATCATAATTTTTATCCACTGCAATCAAAGGACGATATGTATAACAAGTTATTGAACAATACAATCGATGCGGCTATTATGGATTCGGGAGTTTTAGAATACTCAACAAACACGCTCTATCGTAATCTGACACTCGCTGGGCCAGCTTTTGATCACAGTGCATTTGGTATTGTTTATCCAAAAGGATGGCTATACGAACAAGATCTAAGTGTCACTCTAGCATCTTTGAAGAAATCAGATATAATTGATGGATTGAAAAACAAATGGTTTGTAACAAATTATCCATCAAATTCGTATGACAGAAATGCAAAATTATGGATTAACTCTGTAATCATAACAATACTCATGGCTGGACCTACCATGATTTTTTCGTCGCTTATATTTTTCGTGTTGCTATCTGAATCAAACAAACGACAATGTTATTCACTAAATAATAGAAGAAGTACGTATAATCATATGAGGATAAGTCATAACTTTACACTGCCAGCGTCTTCTTTTGATAGTCGCCCATTGCTTCTCTTTCTTGTCTTAATTGATGACATATTTTCAGGTACTATAAACGCTCCAACAACGAATAACATTCAATACAACACGTATTCAAGTATGGTATGTTTTCTTTTTGATTGCGACATCTTTGATGATCTTGCGAGATGTGTGTCTTTAGGAATCAACTTCGGACACCTCAGAAATACCGCAACTACTACAATCTATCGAAGTAAATGTAATGTTATCTTTTATAACTATGAATAATTTATTCTTTAGAGCTACACTGTCGAAGCATCGACCAATGATTATATGGAACACGGCATATCATCATTTTCGCCGACAGAACACATTCAGGTGCTGAAAGTAATGTATACAAAACGACGCTACATCAGTTTTGTACGCTGTTCCGCACGTTCTAGGATGAGTGTCATACCAATAGAATCTCAGTTCATTCAGTATGCTCTTACTGCGCCGATCTTACTGGTCTTACACTTGTCAATGACGCACAACCTATCACCGACTCAAGTAAGATTCTAATTAATCATGATTATTATCATCATTGACTCTTTAGTTACAAGTGAAGAAACTATCAAGTTAAAACGAAATATAGATATATCCGTTATCTGTCGAGATGTAAGTTTCTCATCTAAACAACCGATCAAACATGCGTATATTGACATCGAACTGCTTACCGACGACCTGGAATGTACTTCGCGATTACTATCAATCAACAAAAATACCGAAGAAAAGAAACTGATCTATTTTGTTGTATCTGCTAGTAGGGGAAGAATCATTCTGCCATTAGTTCATTCCTGTGTGAATATCGAACGTATTTATATACATGACGCTCAAAACGTCAGTCGAAATTCGCTTTGGATGGACAGTTACAGTAAAATTGTCGGTTCTTGGTCGTCTATAGATGAAATTCAACAACAGTTAGAACAAGATATAGAGCATCTTATGACCAAATGCTCGCGATGGACAAGATCGCCGAACTTGCTAAGCAACTTAAGGTCGCAAACTCTATCCTATCACAGTACGTCATTTCTGGTCGGTCAAGATGAAAAATGTTATAACATCCCCAACATTGTTACGCTATACTGTAACAGTCACGATCACGAAAAATTCCATTTTTCCCATGAGAACGCACAATTTCCCGTATTTAACAATGTTCAACAATGTTTCGAATTTGTTGATGGATATAATATATCGTCAGTTTCCTTAGTTATATGTATTGACTGTACTACGGATTTAACGCATCTCCTACAACTGATCAATCATCAGTCGATACATGCTACATACATCTTTGCTTGTGGGCAATGGCGAGACATGCAGAACATTGGCTCATTGTATGAAAGCTCGAAAGTAAGTGGAGTATTTGTTTCACATAAGGAGCTTCTCGCACAACTTACGAATGATATCTGTTTCTATCGTCAAACTCTTGCCGATACTGTGAAAATGGATACACTTCGAGCTGATTCAGAAGTTCTCGCGCATCTGATTCCAAGTGACAAAGAATTTATTCGTTCTCAGCTGGTCCTTGATATATTATCCAGTTTATTACCTTCGACAAATACAAATCCAACGGTGCCTGAATTTATTAACACCGAACTCACTCAAAGAATCAACTATTTTCACAAGTTGAAATCTGAGCTATCATACACTTCCAACGCCTTTGAATCTTTGTCATCAAATCAAATACGTTCGTCGATTACAGTTTATGTTGCTCAACTCACATCTAAAAGGAATATGGATATGATTCGTAAAAATTATAATTGCTTTCTACAATTTTACGCTTATCTTACAGCATCAAGATCTTATTCATCTGCAGTCCAACTATGTCGCAGAGCAGTTGACAACGGCCTCGTTGCGGTCCTATGGGAAATACAGCTAACTAAAGGAACAACAGTCACGCAAAGTCTATCACATCCAGATGTTTTTATTTTTCCTCTCGGCACTATATTCCGATTGAATTCAATTAAGCAAACATGTGATCTTATCTGGCACATCAAAATCGAATATAATAATCACAATATAAAACCTTTCAAAGATCAACTTTATTTCGAGACTCGTAAACATCTGGACATTTCAACGATCGAGGACTACTGGAAGGTGCTCGATGAACTCAAAACTAATGAGTAATCCAATGTGTTTTTTTTCGAAATATATAAAAATTGATTTACAAACCTAACAACAGTAAACTAATACATTGATCTGTAAAATTTCATCAGTTTATCTTCTTCAGATAGTCAAAACTTCTACATGTTACCGCAAGAAGGACGCACTCACGGCCGACAACTTCATGAAGCGATGTCTACATTTCAATCGTTTGCCAAGTATTTTTCATTCAATTTTTTTTGTACGAACATCATCTCATCTACTTTCAGTATCAAATCACAACCGAGAGTGCCGCTGAAAAATCAGCAGTGCCAGTGTGTATGGTTTTATAATGATAGTATTTCGAAAGACATACGTGATGATTTACAGTTTAATCTGAACGAAATATTTCTTCGTCTGCAGACTTCCACGGCAAGGGACGAAGTAACAGAGTTTCTATGTCACACAAGTCTAAAAAAAATTTTCTTTATCAGTTCCGGCGAAGACGCTGAGAATTTATGTAGATTTGTAACAGCACAACAGCGATTCAAAGACAGTTACATCTACGAATTAAAGTTAGACATTGATGATGTACCCAGTAATGGCTCAGAAGGTTGGACAGTATGCAGTAATATAGGTGATTTATGTAAAAATGTTCACACGGATTTAACGAAAGCACTCAAAAACATGGATCCTGGTTATCAAGTACCGAGCGATGCTGCTGATACCATACCTGATCTGTTTCCTGCATTTGAACTATTTAATTTAACTAATAAACAAGTCTGGTGTCAGTTTTTAAACAAAAACTGTCTGAGATTCGTTCTCTTTCGTTTAATTTATCAAATTCTCTTTGAGATGGAACATGATGCGTCCGCTCTGGACGAAATGTGCAGTTACTTTCGGAACGAATACAAGTCAAATCCCAGCCAATTAAAATCGATCGATAAGTTCAAAGCAAACTACGATGTCAGTCACACGGTGAAATATTACACCGAACATCAATTTCTCTATTCTCTGATCAACCAGGCACTTCGATCTGAAGATTTTAATCGAATTTTCACATGCCGTTATTACATATCTCATCTGGACCAACGGTTGACTACATATGTGGAGAATTCAAATACTTCGTTGACGGAAAAGTTGGTTTTTCATGGCAAAAAACTACCGACTGCTGTACTGCAGCAACTGAATGATAGCCGTGGGAGTTTAATATCCATTAATGGCTTCCTTTCGACGTCGAAAAGCTGTGTAGTCAGTGCGAATTATACTGGTGCAGATACGGACATTTCTGGATATGAAAGTGTTATGTTTACGATGACAATTGACAGTACGACAAAGACAAAGATGAAATATGCCGATATTACAAATGAAAGTAAACATCCACAGGAAAGAGAAATTCTTTTTTCTGTTGGTTCTGTGTGGAAAATTGATGAGGTCATAGATGGTCTCGTTTGGGAAGTCAAACTTACCTTCTGCGATCAGATCGACATTGAACTCGAAGAGATCCACCAACGCCTGACGAATGGTCCCACATTTCTGTCACTAGGAAACGTGTTACGAGAACTGGGCGATAAAATCAATGCTGAGAATTATTACTATCGTATGCTCGATACACCCGATCTTTCACGCGAAATTCGTGGACATACATATTATAACATTGGAACGTTAGCAGCTGAACAGGGTAGATACCGTGATGCGCTGAAAAGCTTTAGATTAGCAGAAGAACTTATTTCCAGTGAATCAGAAAAAGATGTGAATTCGAAAACCCTGAATGATCTAATATACCATCATAATATACGACCCACGCGTTTACGTATCTGGAACAGTTTAGGTTTATTGCATTACAAGAACGGTGATTGTAGAAATGCTCGTAGTTCGTTTGAACAATCGTTAGAAGAACATGGACATCCACTGGAAAAAGCAATAGTACATAATAACCTAGGTTTGCTTGAATTCGACTATGGAAATTATCGAAAATCGTATGAACATCATGAGAAAGCATTCAATCTTTCCAGAAAGTATATTTTTGTACTAGAATTCCATGATAATTGGAGTAGAGTTAACGATCTTCTTTCTGAAACAACAGAACACGCCACAGTACTGCAACCCGTAGCTAAATCTCGTTCATCTACGTGTTCTGACGAGTTTTTAATGACAATGACAATAGGTCAAATTTTGTATGACTCAGGAAATAAAGATTAGAATTTTTTAGTGAAATTCAGTCGTGATCAGCGTTCACCTCAACAACCACTTTCCCAATCACTTGCCGAGACACCAATCGATCGTAAGCATCGAGTACACCATCAAATTTGTATGTCGAGTCAATTACAGCTTTGAAAGCCTTGTCTTCCACCAATTTTGCCATAGCAACCATTCGTGCATGAGATACTTTCAAAGGCTCGAAGATATATCTACGAGGCACACCTCCAAGGTAGACAGGTACCATCATTGCACTCAGCAATTGTAAAATTCTCTTCGTGCCTGCCCACACTGTGGAGCCTAAAAGTGAAAGTTCAGATTAGGTTTATTACTTACAACACCTTACCAAAATCAACCAATCCAATAGCACAGAAAAGACCTTCAGGAGTCAAATATGCAGGTGAACTCGAATAGAGTACATGATCGGATCCCACAGTATCGAAGATAGCATCAAACGGACGTGAACTATAGTGTTCTCGAAGAAAAGCTGGTAAATCATGTGCTGTATAATCTATAATCTTTGAAAGAAACAAATATACTTCTTCGTTAATAGAAGCTTGAGAAGCATACCTCATCTGCACCTAGATTTCGAATAGCATCGCTCTTGGCTGCAGTGCATGTCGCCACTACTAGACCGGTAGGTCCAACAATGGTGCGTGCTAGTTGAATTACCATAACACCAACTGCACCCGATCCACCGTTGATAAATACTTTGTCTCCTTTCTTCAACTGAGCTTTTTCCATCAAAAAACAGTATGCAGTAATGCCTTAAAGTTCAAATACGTATCAGAAAAGATTTAGGATGTTAACATAAGTTTTATAGTACTACCAGCGACAGGAAAGCATGCAGCATCTTTCATTGAAATATCATCAGGTACTTTAACTAGAGAATCTTGTTTAATAAGAGCATATTCACATAGAACGCCTCGTCCGATTTCTCGGAATGCTGTTGGGCCCATTCCGAATACTCGATCACCTAAACACATAGAATACGATGATAACAACGTATAATTAATCTCAACCGATCTGACCTGTGTTAAATCCTTTCACATTTGCACCTCTTAAATCACAAACAATTCCACTGAAATCCTTTTCAGGCACACTAGGTCGAGTTCTGAATGCACCAACAGGGTCAAGAACACCACGGTATGCCATAAGTCGATGTACTATTGCCGAATTCAAGGAGACGTAACTAATTTTGATGAGTAGTTCGTCGTCCGGACATGTTGTTGGAATAGGTATTTCAGTTATGGTCAATATATTTCGAGGCTTTCCAGATCGAGTGAATTGCCATTGTTTCATCATTGAGCTATGATCAGCCATGAAATAAAAAAAAGTAATTCTTCTAACACTCGCACATCATCTGAAACGATATGAAAGAGAAAAAAACATGTGACTCTTTTCATTTGTCGTTCTGTTTTTCAATCTTATGCTTGAAAAGAAAAATAGCAGAGTAACTAGTCGAACATGAAATTAATAAAAAGAATTCATTGAAATTGGGTGCTTTCGCTAGACTTTTGTCGAGGACAATCACATGCAGAAAGTAAAACAGTCGTCGCGTTCTCATATTAACAACGAAAGTTGAGTGTTTTACCTTTCTCGTTGCTACTGCCATTACCTTGACAAAAATTAAATCACCAAATTCTATAGGAGTTAATGAAATTATCGCACATTTATATTTAGAGTCTCCTTAATTCGTACACATGCTTTCATGGGACAATTGTAATCTAAATTCTGGACCGTTGATAATTCATTTAAGCGATGTCGACGATATCGATGCCACCTTAGATGTAGTAAGTCAAAGCAGACACATGCCTTCTCCAAATCGTTCTGACGTTGTAGGTGGAGTTTTTACGTAATAAAAAGATTCCGTTACAATGGCATACTCATGGTTACATTTGCCAATACGCACCCTACCGTCTAATACGAGAATTCAGAGAACAATATCCTGCTTATATTCGTCGTACCAAACTTAATCGTCGAAGTTTTTGGACATTAAAATAGACGTATTAATTTATGCTTTTTCTTCTAATCTAAGTGAATGTTTTATTTTAAAACATAGACGTAAAAAAGAACTTTTCGATATTCACAAATGGTAATACAAATTCAGTTGATGTTTTTTTTGTAGCAAGAAGAAAAGAATTTCACGTTTCTACATCAAGACGCTCTGTTATTCCTATTTCTGTTTGTCCTGTCGCTTGTGCTTTGTAAACTCTTCGAAGTATGTACAATACACACCCCGAGATCAGCAAAACTAGGCCACTAGATAGGATAAGAAATGCTTTCAATTTCGATGGTTTCTTCCAACGCCAAGACCACATGGATCCCAGCGGATGATCTCGATATTTATAGCACGGATAAATTTCATTGGCCTAGTTTTATTTAGAAAAGAAGAAACTAGTTTATGTATAGGAAATCAATAGCCTATTTACTTTTCTCTTTTGAGCAGCATCGCGTGCTCCTGATTCAGTGAAGTATGAACTGTACGATTTAATCGTAACTTCACGTTCTTCTATTTGTTTGTTCTGATCATTTAAAATTTGTACTTTCCAAAACGCTCTCCATAGACTTCCGCCAGAAAATCCCACATCTGAAGAATTGACTTGACATTGCGCTTCGATAACTTCATTCAATTGCCATAATTCGTGAAATCCAAAGATGAAAGTTAACACAGATAGTCCACATGTTATTGTAATGATCGCAACAACGCACGGTGTATTCCTTCCGCGTCCTTCGTGTACTAAGAACTGTTTAAATGCTGAAGACGACATTCGACAATTGTTTTACTGTTAAATGGCGACGACGGAATGAATGTGTTCTAATACATTTTCTTTCTCAGATGACCAATGGAGTTAGTGGAAATAATTCAACTCATCAATAGTCCAATGATAAGCGAAGAGATATATTCCCATGGATATGTTTTTCCTTCCTTCTCGTGGAAGTGAACCGTAAACTCATGCGAATGTGGCAGCGCTATCGTCAATGTCTTGACCAGCTCGAACTTTCGTTGTTACTGAGAGTGTGCAACTAAACGATTTTTTGTCTTCCTCGGCCTTGTACTTTATTTTAATATGAACTCAGTTCGTAAGAGAAATTGTTGCTGATGTGATACTGTTTACCCTATTATTCATTTTGACGTGAGTCTTTCTTCTAAGCAAACAAAATCAACGTAGGCAGCCAGAGAAATAAAGAAACGAAAGTGAAAGCATGTGACAACCATACTGATCGCATGATTTGAATAAAATTCTAATGCCGTTGCCACAAAGTGCTCCAGCTCTCTCAACACTGCCTGTTGAAATTCTATACCGAATACTCATTTATTTGGACACAGAAACAATTCTTCTCTCTGTCCGCTATGTGGCGAAAACATTCTACTTGATTTCCAACAGTTTCAATCATTATCATATCGATTTTAGTGCTCTATCCAAAAGAAATTTCGATATCATATGTCGTCTGATCTATCCCGAGAACGTCGTTTCCATCATTCTCTCGGATGAAGATACAACGCCAGGCCAGATCGATCTATTTCTTACTCGCTTTCGAATTCATTATTTTCCTCATCTTCGCTCATTAACATTCCGTTCTATCGATTGGACCGATCTTCATGGTATTCTCACCGATATATTTCCCTGTTCATTGATTTCGTTTTCTATCCATTCACAAGGTAAACAAAGCAAGTCAACGCTTTGCCTTCTCTCACAACGACTCAATCAATCTAATCTGCAATCGTTCTCACTCAATACATATGCGCATCAAATCGAAGGAATATTCAAGAATATTACTGAATCTTCTCTCACTCATCTCACAGTTGGAACTATCACATTCAATGAATATCAAATTATCCTTCGATATTGTCCGCAATTGCGAACATTAAGAATAGATGATTGTTGGATAAGTGATACAGATCGATGTTTTCCTACTAAATCCTATCGACAATTGACATCGCTGACACTACAAGACACCAATCGATCCATTGAACAGCTCGAACATTTTCTGTCACTGTCACCATCAATTATTGAACTAAAGATCATCAATTCTCTATCAACGCCGAATTCCTTGATCGATGGATCAAAATGGAAAATGTTGATCAAAGCAAAACTTCTATCACTTCGTTTGTTTCACTTTGTATTCTACCAGGTACATCTCCGTATCTATCAATGTGATGCTGATGTTGAAGTCTTGATTCAACCATTCCGTTCATCATTTTGGCTGGAAGATAAACAATGGTTTGTTAAATGTCAATCGATCAAAAGTTTGCACAAAGTCAAACTCTTTACTGTACCGTTTCCTTCCACCTCATACGAATACAATTGTGATCCCGATCCGATTCTCTTATCGACCACTCCGAGAAAATTCAATCATTCAACTATCATGAAACATGTTCGATGTCTCTCGATAAATTTATCGGAAATAAAAACAAAACTGGTATGTTGTGGTACTCAACATCATGTCTGTAAAGGATTTTTCGTCTTTAGAACCTAAGAAAAGAAGATTTCTTTTTCGCTAATGTTACTGAATTAAAACTGAGCATTCGTGGAGAATGGCCCACTGACTCGACACATTTTATTTCGATGTTAATCAATGTTTCACAACTTCAGGATTTATCTTTTCAAAGCGATTTTAACCAAAAGACAGCCGCAAATGTTGTCGATAGTTTAACGAAATTTATTCAACGAATTTCTCATCTACGCTCTCTCAGTGTCCTACCATTAGATATTAATGGACAATATCATGTAGATATGGCAAATCTTTCTTCTATTGTCCCACTATCCGTCGAACACTTGACTCTAAAAATCGAAAAATTAGAACATATGATTCTTTTAATTAAAAATTTGGATCATTTATCCAGTGTATCATTCAATTACCCGCATGATCGAAAGATTATCACGGATGAAATGATCGAGTGGTTAAGCAACAGCGGGCGAGATTTCAGTCATTTAGAAAGAGAATATTCACTTCATTTCTGGCTCAATTATCATCGATGTTCACATTTCGGCAATCCCGATCACTAACTACAATCCGTTTTTTTTATCGGAAGATATCTTTTTATTATACAATTCATCAGATTTGATAGCATATACAGAAAACACTATGAAAACAAAAGTTTAGTTTCGATTAGCACACATCTAGCTGATAAAATCATTCCTAAACTGATTTGTAGTGTACTATACTACCATCTTTCATTGACCAAATGTGTATATTTGCATCATCTTTCGCGTGTAATAGCAAACGACCATCATCCTCGAGAACTAAACGACTATCACCATCGAGACATGACACGTTCGTTTTCCAAATAAGTTGCCCTTTTATATCGTAGACAGCGATATTATTATCATCAGTGATTTTGAATACAAAAGGCTCTTCTATACTCGATACTGTCGGAGTAATTGTCGATTGCCATGTTGGTTCACCATAGTTATCTCTTTTATACAATGCAATACGACCGTCTAATTCTACCATGAGAGCAACCTTTTCGTTTGGTGATACGAGACATTGATTTGTATATAAATCTTGTCCTTTGTCAAGTACAGACATGCCTTCTTTTCCTTCTTGAAAACAACGAATACCTGTATAGGATGTCCAAACAATTTCGTTTTTTCGGCCGCGAACATAACAACCTTCGTCGTCGTCGATTTCTAAGTGAAACAGACCAGGAAAATCGGGACAGCGAGTGGCAGTATGCCAAATTGTTTGACCTTTTCCATCATAAACAACAGCGTCATTATTTTCTTGCATTTTCAATACAAATGGTCCTTGAATGTTCGATAGTTTTGAATCGATTGTCGATTTCCACAGTGCTTGATTGGGATCATCTTTACGGAAAATCGCTAGATGACCGTCGGTTTGCAATATCAGGTAGATTTTCTCATCCGGTGATGTCAATCGTTCGCCAACGTGCAGCTCTTCTCCGTTCAAAAGACTTGATTTCCCATCGAAACTCATTTGATCACCGTTATGTACGAAAAGCAACAACACAACACAACGTACGTTACGCGGTAAATAACGTGTATGTGTGTCTATATGAAGGAAAGAGAGCATATCTATACCAATATACGCACAACGTAAATGCAATCATCCATATCTTACACACAAATCCAGACGAATAGTGAATGATATCCCATCATTCATTGTAGTTCTTCACGCTTTCATATCGCATATAGAGCATAACTTCACTATGCTCTATGTTCTCATGCAGTATCATTTCTAGTCAATGGTTCCCAAAATAATTGGAAGATTTATTTCACTTTATAACACTGATCTTTCAAAATAAAATCGATTATCTTTGTCATATATCTGTTTAATTTTTCTTAAGCGTTGTTTATGCGAACCGTAATAGACGTTCATCCAGTTAGGAACATCTCTGTCGATATAGTTTACATAGGAATGTTTCGTTGAATCATTGTGAACAGATGTATAGATCCGTTCGAGCCAATTTATCTGTCGTTGCTCATCATATGTATGGTTCCAATAATCCGTGAATTGGATACCAAATTTATACTGACGATGACGAAATGCTGTCGCATCGATTGGAATTGTATTGATATATCCATCCCAAGGATTGAATTCCAGACAGAGTCGACCGCTACCCAGAGAAAGATGACGTGTTAATTGATCGATACTATGATCACTGATCGGTTTATCGAAATACAGATGTTTTGATTTAAATTCATATGTTGGAAGTGTTGCATTTTCCAACAATAGTTTTCGATAATTATGATCAGCATCGGCAATATCTGACAGATCATAAACGAAACTTAGCCAATCTTGTTGATAGGTGTTAGTAGTCTTTGGCGTTGGTAATGTTGCTAGCATCAATGAAACAGTTCTGTTAAACTCGCGAATTGCAGGACCGTAATGAGTAATCGATATTGTAATCTGTTCTTTCATGACCGACATCTGTAAGAAAATGTTATTACTGAAATTTGATAGACTGGTGTTAAACATCAATAGTTGATAACGCTTCATGACAGCTTTGGTTGCATTCGGATGCCAGACAGCCTTTAATCTTGTCACTAATAATGGGGCTCGAACTAATCGAAGCGTGAATTCAGTAACAATGGCAAAGGAACCTCCGCCAGCACCGCGTAGAGCCCAAAATAAGTCTGATTCATGGCTAGCACTAATTGCCAATAGATCACCTCGAAAACAAAATCCTCTATCGATTCTAATGATGTATAATATTTATCCTTACCTTGAGCATTGACTACTTTCATCTCTAAAACGTGATCAACTAATAATCCGTGCAATCGAGCAAGTAGTCCATAACCACCTCCGAGAGCTAGACCACCAATTCCGACCCATGGACAAGATCCACCTGGGATTGTATGCTTCTCATGCTGATATAATTTATAGTATATCGGTCCAAGTCTTGCACCTGGCCCAATCTTCACAATTTTATCATGCACATTAACATGAATATGATTGAGTTTTCCGAAGTTGATGATGATATTATTTGGTACTGAACCTAAACTGTACCCTTCATAGCTATGTCCTCNGAGAGCTAGACCACCAATTCCGACCCATGGACAAGATCCACCTGGGATTGTATGCTTCTCATGCTGATATAATTTATAGTATATCGGTCCAAGTCTTGCACCTGGCCCAATCTTCACAATTTTATCATGCACATTAACATGAATATGATTGAGTTTTCCGAAGTTGATGATGATATTATTTGGTACTGAACCTAAACTGTACCCTTCATAGCTATGTCCTCCACTCAATGGATTTACCACGTAATTCAATTTTGTTGCACATTTGACAATGTTTTGTACGTCCCAAGTTGTCATAGCATAAACAACAACAGCTGGCGAATGTAAAATCCGAGATCCGTGCATACTTGCTAGGTTATGAACATCAAAGTTTTCACATGAATATAAGTGACTGTTTTGATTGCTAGGAGTTCTACATGGATAAATACAACGCACGAAGGTTGATAGTGATGACGAAAGGCAAGTATATAGCTGATCATTGTTTTGTCGTGAGAAGCTAGAATTGATATCGAAAGTCGCTATTACCAAATGAATTTGCGATAAAAACAGAACTAGGTTAACAATTAATTCTGAATTGAATGTCACCATGTTTGTCGTGATCGATTACTCAAGTGAACATATGTGTAGGCGGCGATGACATACAAAACGATCATATATACCTGTATTTGGTACATTACGATCGTATACAACATTCGTTCACTAATGGAGTAAATGCAATCGAGCTTTCGCTCATATATACTACTGGTATATACAATCGTAACACCGAGATGGATATTACGTCCCTCAGCATACGCTCATTTGCGATCTGTACTTTTCTATTATTATTGTAAAAGTCCTTGACATTCTTTTACTAAGAAAGGGTTCAGTTCATTCACACCTATAGATTTCCTGATCAATCAATTTCATCAAATCAGAGATAAATCAATCAGCAATAGTTTTCATGTAATTATTTTTCGAACATGATTCAACATTGATAACTTTAACAATTAGAATAAACAAATTAAACAGTTCGTACTCGATCATCAAAGCCATATCAAGAGACTGTCACTGTCGTCGTTTTTTGTGTAACACAACGGTCGAGTTTCCATTGTTCGTACGCTCAGTTCATACAGTTCTGTTTTGATGCGCTTGAAGTTCGATTTAAACTCTTCATCCGATTTCCGTAGTTCCAGCATAAGCACCGACAGTGTACGACAATACATTCGAAGGTCTTCAATAATACTAGCGACGTGGAAGCGCTTAAGGTGAATGCGGTGTGATCGTAGCGTAAGTCCAAGTATCTTCAAATTTGGTAACATGTCTGATAAAACAGAAACTGACTTGCGCCAATCAAAGTAGCTATAGTAATACAAATCTAGATAGATAATTTGCTTTCTCTGCCTGACTGAGACGTTGTGAAGGATTTGAATGCAAACATTTGCCGGTTCGCCGATGTGCATATCCGTCAGGCTCGACGACTTCATGATTACTCTCGTGAACAACTCAGACAGACTACTTCGTATATTTCTGACACCCCAGATTTTTATCTGGTGCACATTAACAAGTTCAAACTGTTCATCTAACGTCGGTGTCAATAAAGAACCATCGCCAAAATAATGACTTACGAGAGGACATTTATTATTATACACGAACGTCTGATTCGGGTTATAATCCATGTCATGATACACTGATGTTCGATTAGATACAGTATCGAATGGTTGAAGTCGTGGAAGAGTATAAAGAATATACGTCGAATTTTGTAATTGCTCAACATTTGAAAACAAATGGGGAAAATGCGGTTGGTACTGAGTTTGTAAATAATATTGAAATGATTGAAGTCTAACGAAGTCTTTTGTCAGACTTTGAAATCGATTATAGATCGAAAATTCGCGAAGTGCGTTGATGAATATGAGATCTAATGAATATATGCAGTCTTTGAAAGCATTTAGGAANAGAGTATAAAGAATATACGTCGAATTTTGTAATTGCTCAACATTTGAAAACAAATGGGGAAAATGCGGTTGGTACTGAGTTTGTAAATAATATTGAAATGATTGAAGTCTAACGAAGTCTTTTGTCAGACTTTGAAATCGATTATAGATCGAAAATTCGCGAAGTGCGTTGATGAATATGAGATCTAATGAATATATGCAGTCTTTGAAAGCATTTAGGAATTGATGGATGTAGTCAGATCGTGGTCCATATCGCGAATAGAAAAATCCGTTGATTTCGAGATGTAATTTTGTTAGTTTTGGTGGAACTTCAATGAGATGACAATTTGTGGAGTCTTTGAAACGAAGTAGTGATAAATACAATTGTTCAATACTGGGCAGTATTCTCAATAGTTGTTTAACTGCTTTGAGTGACCAAAGATTAATATACAGTCGTTTGATAACTAATAATGATGCAGTAAGTGTAAAGTTTGGTATATCGTTATAAAATAGTAAAGTCAATGTGGATAAATTAGGTGATGGGTGAGATGCAATTGTATGTAATACGTTTTGTTTTGCTGGAAAGATTATTAACTCTGATAGACAAGACGAAGTTGACAGAATATCAATGAGAAATTGTTTTTCTATGACGAACTGATTGATATCATACGATCTTTCTCCAATCAGTGTTAGAGACTGTAGATTCGTTAACCGATGCAGTTGCGGTTGAATGAAATACAGTTGTTGATTTCCAGCTAGTCTGAGTGATCGAATATTTGATCCATGCAATGGAAGAACGTCTTGACAAAATGATTGATAGAGTCGATAGGATGGCATATTTCGATATGTCAGATCAATGGCAGATGCAAATGGGATGATCATTCGCTGAAATCTTTGATTGAGATTTGTAAATGTTCGGATCACATCGATCTGGTGGAGATGACTAAAGATGATTAGTAATAATTCGTCTGGAAGAGATTCGAAAGGCATCGCACGTCGGTAGATGATCAAGTTTGAATGAAAAAATTGCCTGTTTTTATACTCGCCAGCAAGGCTTTTTCCATTGTCAGTGGTGCAATACCACTAGACAAATAGTGACGACATGGTGATACTCGATATGAGAGTGAATTTCAGTATGTTCTTTTTGTTATGAAAATCTTCTTATGAAATATAAAATAGAACGAGAAAAAGAGAGAAAAATAATGTTTTCTTCACTGGTTGATTCAAACTGGACATCGAAAACGGAGGTTCTATTGGTGTATCTGGACGTAATAGATTGTATTCGATCAATAGTTTCATGACAATATGATATGGATCTCGTTCGTTACATAAATCATGATTACAAACATATTCAACTAGACTTTGTCGAGCATCTTCTTTACCATTGAGAAAGTACGCTGTTTCCTCTTTGATTCCCAATTGTTTTCGTGTGTGATCATCGCTGTGCGACGAACAACCTCTTTGTGTGTTATTGAAACGAAGATTGTCCATGTTTAGACTGCAGGACTTGATTCCGTCAGAACACGTTGCTGGTTGACCATCTGTTGACGCACACCGAATGGTGTCCAAAGTTGAGTCAGGTGTGAACAATGCCGAATATAGTTTCTGTTGAAATTCAGCAAAATTCCAAGTTAATTTGCGCATTTCGAGTATTTTCGTATTAACGTATTTTAAATCACAGGTGTCTTCATTGTAACATTTATGTTTGAATATAGTCCATTGCACATTGAATGTTTCATGCCACAGTTCCGTCTCATGGGATAGATAATAATCGTCCGATGTTGCATTTGCACTAACAACACTTTGCTCCCCGAATTTGATGTGTATCAATTTTGATACGTAATCAAAGCTAAGTTCAGTGAAACACTCGCCAGATTCAAATGTTTTATCGCAAGCAGACGAGATGACATCGAGTGTTTCGTTAAAGCTTAGGTATACGTCGCAAAACTCAAGACAGCGGTGTTGGACAGTGGAAGAAAGAAACGTGAGGAAGTAAATATAAACGAAGATGATCGACAACATTGCACGTGTATCCTATCTTTGCAGTTTATTTCACTCAGATGACTTGTCTTTTATTTATGAAGATAACATGTATCTTCTATGTTTTCTGTTGACATGAAATAATAGGATAGACTGTGTTTCGACGATAAAGAGATAATTATTTAGTTAATGATTTACAAATAAGAACAACTGCTAGATTACGATGATAAATATAATAATGCATATAAAAGCATTCACCACTAAAACGAAAACCAAATTATGATAATGGAACTGTTCATTTGAGATTCTTCATTATGTTTTGAACATCTTCAAAGATCTAGATAAGGAAATATTTGGTTTATGTAATAGAAGAGAAAATTTCATCTTCCAAACCTGATCGACATCTTTCGAAGCATCAATCTTATGGGCTAAATTTTCTTTTTCATACAATTCAATTATTGGCCGAGTCGATTCATTGTAGGTGACTAGGCTAAAATATTTTAAGAATAAGAGAACTTCACCATCTTTTCATAAAAATCACCGTTTTTTCAAACTTTCTTCATTGTCATCTGCCCGTCCGCTGCTCTTACCACGTTCGAGACATCGAGTGGTACTAGTCTAGATATCGATAATAGGCACATCAAAAGAACAAATAGCATCGCAAACATTTTTTCTTCGTACCTTTTCATCACAATCAAAAACTAACACACACTGAAGATTTATTTTATCATTCATTGCCTTGTCCCATCCATCCACGTTCTGCTTATCCCTTGGAAATCCATCAATTAGATAGTTTCTTTTGTTTTCCTTCTTCATTGTCTTTGTTTAACAAAGAGACCAGTGAGAGGTTGAACATAATCATGTACGTATATAGACATACTTCATCCAATAATTTGCAAACAAGTTCTGTCGAAGCGAGAGAACCATTTTTCATGTGATCTAGCAGTTGTTTGCCCAAATTGGTATCAGATTTCTCGGCTTCTTTTCGGAGAAGATCACCAACTGATAGATGAACGTAATCAAAGTTCTACAGCGAGTAAGAGGAAATGATCCTAATCAAGACATGTCACCATTAGATTTACTTTGACAATTCGTTTACATTGTGTACCTTTACCTAGAAGAGGAAAAAGATTAAATTCATCGTCCAGTGAATACGATACATACCAGATCCGGGCGCGCCGATGACGAATATAACATTCGGTTTTGTATCTGTCATTGATGTTCAGCACAAACAATGTTGTTGATTTAAATAGAGGACGGAAATAAGGAGCAGAGAAAGTACTGGTTGGAATGACGATTAACACACATGGTAATAAGGACAGAACGACGAAATGTAAGAGTGTGAATAGAGCCTCTTCGTAAAGGCGCACACTAGTGAAGGATGGAAGCGTTCTTCCATCTACATCTCTCTCTCTCTCTCTCTCTCTCTCTTATAGATGTAAGGTTGGCGACAGGCAAAAGCGAGTTGAATCCAACAGAAGGACTATGGGCGCATTTGAAGCAGTATATCAGACGTCGAACGGATCAAACCTTTCCTGCAATGCTCAAGTTAGTTAAAAAATCCAGAACGAATTTTATTGAGAAAAATGTTTCTCTTAAACATATCAGAAGATTTTGGCGTACTTTGATCGCATATGAACGTAGTGCCTCATATGAAGATGTACTGAAAATGTATTTCAGTTCCATATGCAAAGCTAACGTGATTTCACATCGTCAAGTCACTAATGCCAGGCTAGATGGCTGATTTTATTGTTTACTGTAAATCTATGCAGATTTGCTTGAAGGAAAACGCGTTTCAACTTTGTTGTTGTTTATTGATGAAAACAAAACATACGGAAAACGAAACGCTAACAATCAAAAGAGAAGAAGAACGTTCTGTCTATCTTGGTTGTGAAACACACTCTACGAGACAGAGAGAGAACAACGAAAACACTCGGACAGATATGTGTGCACGAGCGAAAAACAAATGCGTCATAGAGACGCGTGTTAAATGTACGTAGACGCTCTACATTTACCGTGTCAGTTCACCCTAAGGATATGTCAATAAGTATTCGAAAGAAATAGTCATTAGAAAGATCTTTATCATTATAAACATAGAAGATGCTCAAAAAGAAGAAATAAAAGCGAAAATAGTGTTAAAAATCAAAGAAAAACAGATCCGATAGAACGCGTGGAGAAAACGATGAAATCTTGGGAATGAAAGTGGATGAAGGAAAAACAATACGTAGATTATATCTAGGGCATCTAGGAAGTCGAATGATGAAAGAAAAAAAATGTATATCTTTACTAGAAAATGAGTTGATGCATTTTTAATGAGAGGCACTCAATTTGTTCTCATATTAACAAAACTGATTTTTCTCAATGACAACGACATGAGTCGAACTGCTAAAAAGTAGTGTCCTAGAATCAGTTTTTGATGCTGAATCAGGAGCAGAAACTTCCAAAGGTATAACATATTTTTTGAAAACCCTACTGTCAAATTTCGATTGAAAATCCCGATTTTTCGAAAACCTCGCTTTTTTGTAGTATTTTGAAGATTTCTCCTCGAAGACGACTTTCTATGTCACAAGTAACGCTCGTCTAGCGACTCGCTCAGCTCTTTCTCGTAGAAATCGTGCTTTCAGATATTACACTTTAAAGCTATTATTGTGTACATTAATTTATTTTTAGTGTAGATTAGATATTTTCACGAAAGTAGTAATAGATATTTATACCGAATATCAAATTGAGAATCAGACATTCTAAATAAGTGTCAATACAATTAAGTAGATTATGAGTTATTACATGAAAAAAGAAAATAAGAAAACACGATAGGAAATATCTGCCACAATGAGAGAAAAGAAGCGATTATTACAATAATTAAGATAAATGCAAACAAAGAGGTAAAAAAATGAACATATACGAATAATTATTTTAAGATAATTTGAAAAGTGATAATACATTTTATATGCTTGTAATAAGACTAAAATCTTAACAGTGTATCGATTTATACACGTTCAAAAAGCGGAAGAGGTACATTCTCGTTTTCTTTTTTTGCCAAGTTCATCTAGACGATTCTGTTCAGCGTCTTTAGCAAGAAAGGGTCGAACTCGTAAACAAGTTATAAATGTTTTTCTGAAAATTGGTATCCTTGGTTTGAAAAAATTTTTTTCCATTCTCAAAAAAATAACATCAGATTCGAAGTCTCCACATCGAAATACATCTGGAAATGTCTTTTCGGAAGAATCGATTTTCAATGTTTTTTTGACCCTGCGGACATACACGGAAGCTAGCAAGCAAACAATTTATGTTTCTAAGACTCTTCCCTACGAGAAAGAGAACTAAATTATACATAATCGGATTCGGCCCATCAAACTGCATCATATCAAATAAAAAAAATCAACAAAAAAAATTTGCTCCACTTTTGTATGTCGCCAACCTTATAACCTCATTCACAATGTCACCGTGTGAAAACACCATAATCAATCGGCGATTGTTCCCTCTGTTTTTTTATCATTCTATTTTAACTGTTCTTATCTTTTGATTCGTTGTATGTTTGCTTACTCTTATTATCGGTGTTGTTCGTTGAGTCGAGGTAGACGCGCTATAGACACATTCACTTTGAATAAAACAGTTCGGTTACGCAGACAGGAATAATGACGACCGCACTTCTTCATAAAGTACGTGAAATGCAAGCAGAATTAACAACAATTCGACACGATATTCATGCACACCCTGAAATGGCCATGGAAGAGGTACGAACGTCAGCATTGATCATCGCGAAACTAAAAGAATGGGGTATAACAGTCACGGACGGTGTAGGTAAAACTGGCGTTATTGGCACGTTGACAAGTGTGAAACCAGGTGATCGAACTATTGGTCTCCGTGCTGATATGGATGCTCTTCAGTTAACTGAACAAACCAACGTTTCATACTGCTCCCTGAAGCCTGGTACTATGCATGCTTGTGGACACGATGGACATACAGTGATGTTGCTCGGTGCGGCTAAACATCTGGCCGAACATCGAGATTCGTTCTGTGGAACTGTTCATTTCATATTTCAGCCTGCTGAAGAAGGACAAAAGGGTGCAATAGCAATGATCAATGATAAACTATTCGAACGATTTCCAATGGACGCTATTTACGGTTTACACAATTCTGGAGAAGCACTTGGACAATTTGCTATCCGATCAGGCCCATTTATGGCTGCAGCCGATCGTTGGTTTGTTACGTTTTACGGCACGGGTGGTCATGGTGGGGCAGGTGCACATCACGCTACTGATGTTGCAGTTTTACAAGCACAGTTTCTTCTAGCTTTGCAAACGATTGTTAGTCGCAATGTCAACGCACTCGACACTGCTGTGATCAGTGTTGGTGCTATCGAAAGCGGATCATTTGACTCGGTGAATGTGATGCCATCGAAGATACGTATTGGCGGGACTGCTCGAAGTTTGAAACAGTCGGTGCGTGATACAGTCGAAAGACGCATGAAAGAATTAGCTGATGGTTTAGCTGCTAGTTACGGTTGTCGAGCAGAAGTTGAATACGTTCGTCTTGGGATTGCTCTTGTGAATCATGAAGAACAAACGAAACGAGCAATTAAAGCAGCTGAGGCCGTTGTTGGCGAAGCGAACGTCCATAAAAATAGAGAGCCGTCGATGGCTGGTGAAGATTTTGCTTTCTTTCTAGCTGAACGACCTGGTTCATTCATTTTTCTCGGAATCAACAATAAAGGAGAAAGCAGAAACTTACATTCTCCAACATATAATTTCAATGATGATGCTATTCCATATGGTGTCGCCTATTGGATCAAGTTAGTGCAACAAGAACTTTGCAATCAGTGAAAAGTTTTTTATATTTCATACTCAACCTTTTGTTATGTCCTAAATACATCAGCTTGTGGATATTGACTACAGTTTTATTTGTTAAATTCCACAATAAAAAATAGATGTAACTGTTTTCTGCGTCCTCAACAGTATCAAGCAGATCATCTTGTTTTGTAGATTGGTACAATCGAAATGTTTCCATTGAGAAATAACGATTTTTCGAGAATGGTATTGCTATGAATGTGAATTGCTTCTACAACTTTCTTGAGAGGAACTATTAGAGAATTGGGAAGTGAATCAAAGTTGATTTTTTTGGTTAAAGGTCATCTAGATAGCACTGTAAAGGAAGTGAGATGGGTATAAATATTTGATAGAACTGCAGTCGTTTTCATCTATTGCTGGAACTACGAAAAACAATTGATACAATGATGTCAAAATATTTCTTAATTGCTGTTGTCGTCATTTTACAAGTCTATTGTTGTTTTACAGCGCCTATCGATAGACAGAAACGATCGACGTGGGATTCTCATGGAATGACAAGGTTACGTTTTGGACCTCCACAATCGTACGAAATGTGGCGAGATGGAACTGGACAGTTTCGATTTGGTCCTCCTCAGTCCTATGAGATGTGGCAAGAGCCAGGTGGAAGACTTCGTTTTGGGCCTCCGGAAAAGTATGAAATGTGGAGTTCATACTAGTGGCGGGTTCTATAATAGATTGTGATTCGAAAATAAGTTTCTTTTTGGAACTAAATAAACATCATACTCTAGATATGCTCCAGGTAGAAATATTGTGCTTCTATAAGATGCGCAGCACACGTGCCCAAGGACACGAATTCCTCCTCCGTGATTATCTGTGCACAGCGAAAGCTTTTTGTATGAGATGTTAATACAACTTAACTAGCACAGCATTTGTAACATTATTATTATTGTTTTAGCGATATGGTATTAAACGAAAGACACCCACCATCTGATTTGTATTTTTTTCTCGTTTATTTATCTTTCTTCATGCTTGAATAACTTTTTCCAAAGTAAAGTTATGAAAAAAGCACATGTGCAAAGGTAGAATCGTCACTTGTTGCAGTCATTCACGTCCACCTTACATAGGTAGTGAAGTATATCGAAAGCAAGAAACTAACAATCATGCGTCTGATGCACGTAGTTTTCATCTTGGCAGCTATTGTTATTCCGTCGATCGTTGCAAGAGAAAAACGCAGTTTATTTGAAGTAATGCGTGATAGTGATGAACTCGACTTAAAAGGTCGTTCAATGATAAGATTAGAGTAAGTTTTATGTAACTATCGACGAATTCTTGCATGTTTTTTCGTACGGTTTGTTTAGTAAAAGCTGTAATTGGTATACTTATGAATTGGATCCAACGGGCAATGTTTTTTACGATGAGAAAAGTTACCAATGTCCGAGTAACACACTAGCATCTGGTTACTGTGTTCTTCCATGGTCGGATGCAATCAAACAATGCAATTCAGACGTTAACTGTACTGGATACGCCATGACGGATATTGCTAATTGGCACGATCTATATGATAAAGGCTCGGAAGTTGCTGTGCAACTATACACCAGCACTCTATCGCCTAAGAATCGTCCGCAGGAATACTCCCGATGGTTTGTTTGGCGCAAAACATGCTGGAATTTTTCTGCTGGACCAGTGTCAATAGACAACACTTTGACAAATTCTGTAGCACTTCTTAAACCCAAAGCATCGCTTATATTATCTTTTCTCACATTAGTGCTGGGCCTCATTGCTCTTTAAAGTTTTAATACGTTCCTAATCAATAAACGAACATTTTAATTTATCTTAGAAAATTTTATTACACAAAGATAAAATATTTTCAAAACTTTTCATTTACAAATGATTTATTCGAGCTAGTTTGATCCTCTACAGGTTTCCTATTCTCAAATGTCCGACTAATAGAAGAAAATTGAACCGGATTTTCAACAAAATCGGCATCTTGATTGCTCAATAACGTATTGGACCGAGCCGATACTATTGTACAGCAGGTTTGTGTATCACAAGCATTATCGTCGCAGCGCAACAGACAATCACCTGCGATTTTTGTTTCACTGAAACTAGTTCGATGTAACGTTGGCGTTTGATGATAATCATCATCGCATTCATATTGCATTGTCACAGAATGGATTCCGATCAAATGAAAAAACTTCTTCACCTTATCAGCGACTGACATATAATTCGCTAGAGTTTTCCGGTGCAAATGTGCACTAGCAATGATCTTTTCGTCCGTTAATCGCCAGATATGCAGTTCATGAACACTACTGATTTCCGGAACGGCTTCTAACAGTTCGCTTTTAATTCGCTGCACTTCAAGATGTTTAGGAACTGTCTGAAGTAGTATGGAAGATGTGTCACGAAAGAGTGGAATCGTCGAGATTGTGATGATAATAACAATGATCACAGATAAACTCGGATCGATGTAAACGGTCCAGTGCTTGTTATCGGTCTTATCGTGAGGCACAAATTTGATAATTAGTGCACTAATAATAACAACGACTGAACCAAGTGCATCAGCTAGGACATGTAAAAATACACCGTGCATATTCATAGATGCTTTCTTCTTTGATGTCTGTTTCTCTTGAATGTCTATAACAACATCAGATGGGTTCTGATCAGCCTGAGTTACACTATCGGCAATAACCTACATTTAGCAAATAATTAAGACAATAATCAGAAAGGCGAGGAGTCATTTTTCTAAAACTTACTTCCTGTAAAGCTCGTGTACTGTGTCGTTCAAATCTATTCGCACTATTACTATGTTCATCTGCAAGGTTATTTCCATTATGTTCGACTTTACTGTGTCCATGTGAATGACCTCCGTGTGAATGTCCGTGGAAGCCTTGAAACAGAAATAGGCCAATAACGTTGATTCCTAAACCAATCGAACCGACAATCAACAATAGATTCACATTTTCGATTGGTTCAGGCTCGATAAACCGTTTTACCGCGTCGAAGATAATCGTCAAACAAAGAGCCAAAAGAAACACTGTATTCACATTGGCACCGACAACCTCCGCACGTACCCAACCGTACGTATTCGCATTGGAACGACGTTTGACAATTCGCACAGCAACAATACCAATCACTAATGATATTACATCCGACAGCATATGAAACGCATCGGCAACAAGTGCAACCGACTTGGTTAGATTACCAACAATCAATTCGACAATGAAGAATCCGAATGTCAATGTAAGCATGACCAACAAGCGAAATGTCTTCGTTCGACAGAATAATCGTCGTTGACCGTGATGTTCGTGATGGTGATCATGCGAGTGTTCATGTTTCGAAGACGACATTAGGAATGATATGTGAAAAACATTGAAATGTGATCTGCAAAGATTTACATATATACTCAACTAGTCGAAACGGCACCCCTTCCACGTCAGTAATGTTAACTAAGGTTTCAGCAATTCATGACGGGGGGTGCTGATCGAGATTCTACACCCCCAAAATAGAACTTCTAGGTCATTTTGCGTGCAAAATGTACTGATTTTAGATTATAAGATTCTCCTTTCGTATGGCATTTTATTCCCTATACTCACTGCACTCACAAACTTAACATAGCTCAACTTTCAGAATTTCAGTATAAACAATATATAATAATAATAAGTAAACTCATCGTTATTGCAAATGTATCGATATTGTACGCAACTCAACTTCGTCGTCTACATAAAAAACTTGTTTTTATTTCTAATAAACTCTTGTGATGAAATAGAAACTCTTATATAATGCACCCCCTTTTCTCGCGATTTTACAGTTGTTCTATCACCATAAAGTCATCTTATCAGTATTATTTACGACTTCACATTCTGTTGTTTTGCAAATAAACTGATTGATATTGTCAGAAAAATTTGTATGTTTATCATAGCGAAATCCTATTCGCTTTGGGAGAATCACATCCCTGTTCACTGATAATTCATAACATTTAGTTCGTTCTGTTAACTGCACTACGTACAGTTTCATGTGCATCTAGTAGGTCTAGACGAAAAGACAGAAGTTGAATTGAATCAGATGAATAAAAACAGGTGTTTTCATCAATACCAGTGTTCACTGCATCTACAGAGAACAGTTCGTGATTGTGATCATTACTAAATAGATCAGAATACTCAAGAATCTTTTTCATATTTATTAAATACATCAATTGAAAGAACAAAGTGTGAGTAATTATATGTTTAATTATTAGAACAGAGAATTCATATGAAGTTGACAGCTGGTAGAGAATTTTGTTTTATAAATCCGATGAGTCAAATCAAAGGAATTCTTTTCTTCTCAAGGTCAGATCGAAGTTGATAGTTTTCATCGGGGTAATTTCATTTGTTGCTCGAGAGACACGGTTTCTGTTGCTTTGATGTTAAATCAAATCTCGAAATAAGACGACGGAAAAAAAAGAAAACGAAACTTCATGTTTGACTGGAAGAAAAATTAATAATCAATTCTATTCGGTTTCAATCAGTTTTGTAAAGAATAGAAGAAAAATATTTATATGGATGCTTTTAACTAGACTATTCGTTTACTCGATCAACGAAGTTGTTTTTCTTCTTAGATGATCATGCCCGACTGCGGAATAATAGAAAGAAAGATAAAACATCACAAAAAATTCACATGCGTATACTTGAACTGTTAAGTGTTTTACTTTGACTACCTACAAAAAAAAAGATCGAAATTTCAGTATCGGGGAAAAGTAACGTATGTGTATTCCCCACATAAACCGCAGTTTTCGATGTCGATCTCATCGATACTGAGGACTAGTTGATTGAGCGATCGCTTAGGCTATTTTAATCTTAAGTATTTCACTCGATTGTACAGTCACCATCTTGAAAGTCGATGATTGAAACTTTTTTTTTTCTTCTTTAACCACTTATGTTGTAAAAAAATCAGACATAACAGAAAGAAACGAACTGATGAGGGAGAAAGTTGTTCATTTTGCAGCAATACACCTTGAATAGAAAAAGCTCGTTACAAACAAAGACATTTGTGGTTAAACAACAGCTCCTTTGTTCTTTGCAGACAAATCTTCGACATGATCATAAATATCTACACAATTTGTATTTCTCGTTAGATTGAAGATTTCTGCCAAGATATGAGCAGTCCGATTCAATCAAGTCTCTCGCCAACTGCTTCTCGTCTAACACCTTATCTTCCCGCTACGACAGGCAGCACTTCTCGACCAACATCTGCGCGAAATCAATTGGAAGAAAGTATCACTACACTTCAAAGTAAGATATATCAAATGTTACTCGTTGCGAAAGTTGCGGTTTGATTAGAGATATACTCGACAGACGCGTGCACATTTGTTCGATGTAAAACTAGAAAAGACCTTGCAATCAATCTGTACTCTTCTTCCTCTTTCATCTTTCTCCTTTCATTCGTTTGAGTATAAGATGTTGAAAAAAAAACTCAAGAAATCCTATAAGATTCAACCCGGATCATGGCATTGCCTTCAGAGACAAACATCATTAAGTGGAAGTATCGTCTCCACTTCATTTCCGTCAACAGGTTCAATAGGAACGAAGAAGAAGAAACAAGTCATCTCTTTTTTTGTTTTTTATTTAATTAGACGAACAAGAACGTGTCCAGAAGAAAACTTTCACGAAATGGGTTAATATTTATCTATCGGAGCACGAACCACCATTTCACATCAACGATTTATTCGAGGACTTCAACGATGGAACAAAGCTGATTGCGTTAGTTGAGACTCTTTCCGGGCAGCCATTAGTAAGTCTAGTTAACCGAATCAACTCGTTCGATACGATTCGCATTTTAGCCTGTGGAACGAGGTAACAAAAGAGCTCACCACCTCAGTAATGTAAACAACGTGTTAAAGTATCTTGAGAGTCGAAAGGTAAATCAAGTGAAATGAACAAATTGCATCTTTTTATAATTTATTTCCAAAGATCAAACTAGTCAATATTCGTCCAATCGACATCGTTGATGGCAAACCGACGATGATATTGGGTTTAGTTTGGATGTTAATTCTTCACTATCAGGTACGGACATGTCGTTTAGTCGCATACTTCATTAAGATATTTTGCGTCTAAATTTAACCGCTCTGAGATACTTGATCGGAGTGTTTGTATAACAAATGTCTTATTGATTGAAATGTAAAACTCCTAAACAAATAAGAGCGACGTAGAATAGAATTTCGTTTACGTTCAAGACAAAAGAAGTTTTGTATTACAATGAACATGACGATATCGGCGAGATTCATTTTGACATCCGTTTGCTTCTTGAAGTGAAGGTGAACAGAGCACGTACGCAATTTTCTTTTATTGGGACCGCATAATGAAAGTCCTTCGAGGTGTTGATTTGCATCGGATTCTGTTATTTTCGAAGTGTGTATGTGTGTGTGAATGAACCTCAAGGCAAATTTGTCTTCGTTTTCTTTTCGCTCGCAACTCTTAATATTATTTTATTAGATATTGTCTTAAGGACGAACTTTTTCGTAATTCGAACTGAAAAGAAATTTGTTTAGATTGAAGATACGAACATGTGCGATGATGATTCAAAAGAAAATCGTGGCAAACCGAAGGATCATCTACTCGAATGGGTTCGCAAGAAAACTGGGTATGAGTTGTTTTCACGAGTGTATAAACATGTCTTCCTACTAATCAAATCTAGATTTTATTCATTACCCGGACATCGTCGGTGAGATATATCTGCATGAGCCTCTCTTGGTTCATCTGTAGCTTGTCGGTGTTCATACTGATTTTCTGGTTTTTTTTTCGAATAGACAAGGTGATGAATTGGATGTCCGAGATTTTACCACGAGTTGGCGAGATGGATTGGCTTTCAATGCCTTAGTGCACGGAATTCGACCGGATCTGGTCGATTTACATGATGTGAAAGAAATGGATGTTCGAGATCGATTGGAAAATGCATTTAATGTTGCAGAAGAACATCTCGGTGTGCCACGTTTAATCGATGCTGAAGGTTTGCTGATTCTTCGAAGAAGTTGGTCGATTATTTATTTCATTTGTAGATGTGGATGTAAATAAACCTGACGAAAAATCGATTATGACTTACGTCGGACAATTTTCCCGTCGATTTCCTGATCTAGTACGATTTTCGACATTTCCCAACTCGTATTAACTTGAGCTCTGTTTAGCCGTTCGGTTCAATCAATAAAGAACATGGTGAACTTCTTCGCTATATCGCTGACACTCGCGAACGTTTAACCGTTGTTATCGATGCCCCGATCATTGACATTCAAGCTGAGTACAAGGTAACAACGAGCATGTTCTGTTTATATTTTAATCGAAGGAAAAAGTCACAAGATACGAAAAATAATTCTCTCGCTATGTAGGATTACTGCCGAGAATTGCATGAATTTGGCGACAAACAAAGACAATGGAAGATATTCGAACGTAAAGAATCGAAATCATCGACTTTTCCCGGTGACAAATTAAGAGAAATGAAAGATTATTTTGATGACATCGCCCTCCGGTAAGACACAATCGATTCATTTTAACCTTCAAAACTCGCGCGTTCTCTCATTGCAGAATGGACCGATGGAGATTTAAACTAGATACAAATCTTCCAGGTGAATTAGGACAAATAGCTGATTGGATCAATACTGCAGAAGAAGTTTTAACACGAGAGATCAATTTCGATCCAATGAAATCATCACCCGAAGAAAACATCGACCGTTTCAATCAACTCAACGAAGAGTATACTGCGATTTTCAACGATAAAGAACGAATGGTGTCGAGTTTCCAGCGCATCAAACGTGATCCAACCGTAGTCAACAAACAAATTTCGCACGAACACTTAACGCATTTAACTGAACGTCTCGACTCCATCATTCGCACTCATGAAGAATATGGACGATTCTTAGATTTTGAAGAAGTACGTTGGAAAGTTCAATCATACTTCAGTCAATTAGAAATCTTAGCAACGATATTGAATAAAAAACAAGGCGATTTAAATCAAACGGAATCATTATACAGTGAATACAAAGTATGCTCGACGAAAAATCGAGACTCACATTCGATTACTTTGTGTGTTCTATTTGCAGCGTCATATATATGACGAGAAATTGCTGTCAAATCTTGAAAGTCTTCTACCTGAATTACTTCGCCGCGCACAAAATTACAATCAATTGATCAAGAAAGGTTTGAATTGAGTCCATCTATTATTGCATATGTTTGTTTATGAATTCAGATGACGAGAGAGCAAGAGAATACCAGATGTATTGTGATAAGATTCGTCGCACAGCAAAAACTGTTAGTACCGACCTGGAATCGAAACAGCATTTATTAGAAGAGACGATCAGCAGTTGGCGAATCTACCATGAACT